TGCAAGTTGCTGAAGATGAAATATTATTTATTAGTATCATATTTTAAATATTTGAAATATTTATTTTTATTTGAATTATTAGTAAAAATACTTCTTTGCAACAAATTAACGTTAACAATTAAAAAATGAAAGTGCTACTACAAGTAGACGAAAATAATAAAAATATTTCTAGTTCAAATGTTAATATTGAAAGTTAACTAACTTTAAAAATTACTTTTCATAATTGCTCATTTAATTTTTAAAAAAAATTATGTATTTGTGATTTATATTAATATTCATTTATTATGTCTCTAATAAAGCTATTCAATAAATATAAGAAATGTACATTGTATTCCATAAAGAAAAGTATCATTTGTATAATATAATCACTTATTTTTGATTATTATGAAGGTAATATTGCTAATGATATTAATGACTTATTATAGTATCCTACAGATGAAGAAATTTATTTGGTTATTAATGAAGCTCATGAGTAATCAAATTGCATTTTCTGAAATTCTCGAATTTGTTAAAATAATATGAAAAACTTTTTTATGGTAGGACTTATAATATGTCAGTTTATGAAGTTTCTTTATTAGAAGAGAACTTAAATCAAAATGATGATGAGAAACTAATGAGATTGATTATAAACTAAGAGAAATTAGTAAAGCTGTAATATATTTTTGATTTAGAAGAAAATACTAATAACTTTGATAAAGAAGGTCGAAAGAAAATAAATTTTATGCATAAATAATTAGTTGGGTAAAGTATTATTTGGGAATATAACAATAAAACGTTGAAAACAGGCGCTTTGTTGTCAGGAAAATTAGAAATTTTACTTTTGGTATCACAACATCAAAAACATGAAGCTCATTCTAAGGATGAAAAAAATTCGGTTATTGAAATCAATTCAACTTTAAACCTTAATCCTTATAACGTTAACATAATAACTCGAAATCTGGAATTTTAAGAATAAAAAGATGGAAAAATAAATGTCATTTAGAAACATTGAAAAGATATCAAAATGCTCCAGGAAATTATTATCTGTGTTTGTAAAAAGATGGTTCATATCAACAGTTATTTCATTAAATTATTGTTCGAAGCGTATTGAACACCACGTGTATGCCAACATAATTTTAGATAATTTAGAATCAAATGTAACACGTTAATATAATAATATACTAATAATCATGCAATTATAATGCCTCGGACGCCCAACGGCTAGTCGGCTAGTGTATATTTTTTTGAAATTTTCATAGTAACGTGAATGTAACCTCTATTATAATTATCTAGGGTCCTTACGCCGTGTATCACAGAAAATTCGAATATTAAGTTCTAGATTCTGTAATTTATTTGTGTGACCGCTTGATTGTTTCAACCTCATGATGCATGCATAATGTATTCTTTGTGAAAAATCTCAGATATGTACGATGACGATTGATAAGAAACAATATTATTCACTTTTTCTTTTCCAAGAAAAATCATGTGATGCAAATGAGTCAACAATTTTACACTTTAAAAAATATTATCACAATTCTATAATTTAATAATAATAATATGTTTTATTATAAATAAATACAAATAAATTTAGGATAATATATAAATAATAATATAATTATTTATTATTTTTTTTTAATATAAACCTTTTACATTAATCTCAAATTTTTTAATAATACCCAAATTTTTATATTTTTCAAGTAATTCAATATTTTCTCTTTTAACATTTAAATGACATTCAATAATAAAAGAAATAGATTTTAATGGTACCCGATCTTTCCAATTGATAAAAAAAGGTTCAAAATCAGATCCCGATATATCGAAATTATATAATTTTAATTCATGAAAATTTTTTGGGGAATGAATAGCAACAATTTTCAAAATCTCTTTTTCAGTTAAATAACCTTCACCACATAAAATTTTAATAGATTCTAATTTTTGACAATTATTAAAGATAAATTTTAATGTTTCCATTTCATTCTTTGGAAATAAAGTATATAAAGATAATAAATTTGGACAATATTTAGCAATAATTAAATTTAAAGAACCATAACCATTAACATGAAATTCTTTTAAATTTTTACCATTATTTTCTAAAAATTTAACCAAAATTTCAAATTTAGGACAACCTCCATCAAGTTTTAAAATTTGTAATTGATCAAATTTTGTATATTGTAAATCTTTAAAATGTTTATTAAAAGAATTAGAAGAACCATAAGATTCAAATAAAATAAAAAGTTCTTGTAAATTTTTAAATTTATTAATAAATGATAATTCCTTATTTCCATTTACTTGAATATGTAATTTTGTTAATGTAATTGAATGTTTTGTTAAAGATGATATAATTCCTGACCAATCCATATCTTTTAAAAGAGGATCTGTTAATGATAAATATTTTAAATTATTTTGTGAAGAAATTAAATCTTTTAACCCATTTGAAATATGACTATATTCAATTTCTATAATTAATGTTTGAATATTATGACATATTTGTGATAATTGATTAAAAAATTCTGATGTAATATCTGAACTACATCTTAATTCTGTAAGATCCATTAAACTTTCTTTAGCTCCGAGAAATTGTGTTAAAGTTATACTTTTTGAAATTCTTATTTCCCCATCAATTGAATAATAAATTAATTTTTTTAATGAAGGAATTTGTTTCATAAACATTTTTAAAATTTCTCGTCCTATTAAATCTCTTAAACTTTCAGAATGAATTAATCTTTCACTTTCAAGAAATAATTTTGTCATTATAATAATTTCACCAATTGAAAGAATTTTACAAAATGATGGATAATTAAATAATGGTAAAGTTTGTGTTAAAATAATATTTTCATTCTTATATTTAATAAGTTCTTTTGAATCTTTAGGTAAACAAGAAATTAAAGTATTAAAAACTTTTAATCGTTGTTTATTATCAAGTCCAAAATAATTCTTCCATAAAATTCTAACCGAAATTTCACACCAAAAACGGTTAACTAATAAACATGAATATAAAGTCATCTTTCACCAACTTGAATAATAACATTGTAATCATCTGGATAATCTAATAATAAGGAAAGGTCTTTTGAAAGATTAAGGTGAAATATTGAAGAATTTTTTTTTTTTTTTTTTAAAAAAAAAAAGAGTTTCTTTTATGTTATAAAATGTGGTACAAATGTTACAAATATTTGCTATTAAATATACCAAAGTAAGAAATTTGTGTTTAAGCTAAAATTTATTTGGATTGAATTAAATGATCAGCTGAATTTAAAAGAATTCTGTCTTGTAATACAGTACTAAATTTTGTTGTGCAGCTCTAGCCAAATTTATAGTATCGGAATTCCTACCCGTCCCAAAATTCAAGTGATTATATAATCCAAGTTCGAAATGTGTTCCAAGATTAGTAATATATTTACATGATTATCTTATCCACGGAATAACTATTCCCGTTTACTAAAATCGGACTGAAAATTAACCATCAAAGTAACGTATGACACATAATCTACTTATAACGTGATCATTTATGATTTTACGGTAAATACATATACATATTACTTATAATCAATTATTGCCGTTTTCAAAATGGTTGAAATCTATGTTGAGCACGTAGGGCGTGATCACTGGTGACAAACACAGGATAATTTGTGAATGTCGATTAGCAATCACGTGATATTTCATCAATCCTTTGAGAGCGTTTGCGTAAAAAAGTGTTCCATGATCTTGTATTATTTTACATACAATACATATATTTTTTTATATGTGAAAAAAATTTTTTTTTTTTTTTTGTCACCACTACCTTACATGAGACGTAATCAACATCAATTTCAACCATTTTGAAAACGAATGTATTGAAAAATTACGTTTGATAGAATTCAACACTTTGTTAATTTATTAAATTACTATACCTTCAATAGTGTCGAAGAAAGTATTTTATGTATGAATAGAAAAATTTCATATATTAAAAAGAGATGTTTTATTAACAATAATTGTAATAATTATGACTTGATTCCCAATTTTTATAATTTATATAAAAAATATAAAAAAGCAAAAAATAAAAGCATAAAAGTTTCTCAATAATTACCTATTGAATGCCAATGTCTAATTTAAATTTAGAATCTAAAAATTTTGTATAATCTATTTATGACAATATATACCAGGAATAGCAAATATTACAATCTCTCTGGAGTATGGTCACAATTTCTAAAAGGTGAAACTACTTGCATAAATAAAACATAAACTAATAAATCTGATAAGTGACATAATACAAATAAAAATATGTGACACTGGTACTAAGCACCACTGGTGTTTCATAGTAATTTTATAATAATATTTAATTAAAACCTCTACAAGAAACCCAAAGGAAAGTGGTTAGAGTGTCCAAAGGTAATCATATGGAAAGAGAATACCATGATCTTGCAGAAATGTCAATCGATCCTAAAGGTTTCCATTACTTCCATGTAGTAGTAAAAGTTATGGGTAACAAGTTGATGCAGCAAACAACACCAATCTTAATATTAAATTAAAACTTTTATCTAATTCTTAATGTAATATACAGTTATGCTAATTTAATGTTTTTATTTTAATAAATTTAAATTTATAAAGGTAATGGAACAGCAGCTTCTGTTTTGGATGTTTATATTCTTCATTTATTGACTTCTGTAATAAAAGCAGAAGAATGCAAGGAAGCTATATGCAATTTAGACAAATCTGACATCTATTTAATACAATGCATGCTTGGCCAGCAGCAAAAAATTGGTTATCAAGACTTACAGAAACTTCTGGTAAAGTTAAACTTGTGTTTTATGAACTGTAAGTGCAAATGCATTTTGTAAAGGAAATTGATATCTACTCCTTTAATCATAAATGCTGCAGTTTCTTTTTTAATTCCAATATTAATGATACTACCCTCTACACTAAAAGCTATTCTTGTAAATCAAGATCAATTATTACTACTACAATAGTAACATTATATATATTTTGATCTATTAGATTATTTTTAGGATATATAACTTGAGCACCTTTTTTGTAAATATAAATAACTAGAAAGTTAGTTTTCTTTTAAAAAGTTTTTGTGCATCATCTGGATTGTATTGTTGATTATCAATAAAATCAATAGCTGAACTAATAGGGCTGTAAGAGTTGAAGGAGAGCAGAATATTTATGGATTTACAGAAGACTAGTGTGTTGTTCTTTATTTATTTTCATTTACTGGTAACATATATATTACAAATAATGTATCTGATTGGCAGTTTGATTATATCCAACAATATTTTTAATATTAAGAATAGTATTAAGAAGTTTATGATAATTAAAATTATTTTCCTTTTTATATAAAAGAGTCCATGTATTCATAAAAAATATTGCCAAATTTAATTTCTTGTAAGGCATGATAATATTGCATATCTTGATTTTGTCTTGTGATTTTTTTAAAATAAAGAATAAAAGTATTTCCATTCTGATGATTTATATACTGGTAAACCAGCAGTTACTGGAAGTAATATGTGGGGGATATATATATTTACGAATTGATTTTTAAAAATGATACAAATCAATTTTGAAAATGAATAGATTTTAAATACCAATTTTGGCATTATACCACTTTACAAAATAAAAAAATCCATTAAAATTATATTGATGAGCTAAATCACCAACAACTATAACATTTAATCCTCCAAATGCATTAATTTGTTGCTGAATGACAGAAAACATATCAGAGATAAAATAAAAAAGAGTAGATGTTATAGGAATTTCATAAATAATTAAAGTATCTCTAGTTTTCAAATATTTGAAAAAATTATGCTTAAGATTTAAAACCACTGACTATGTGTTTCAATGAATTCTTAATGCAGAACATATAGTTTCACCTCCAATATTTGTGCCAGCTATACCAGTTGGAGCTAGTAATAAATAATTTGACCTTTTACTTTTTAAATCATTAGTAATTAAATTAATTAAAATAATTTTCCAGTACTAGTTCCAGTAATGAAAAAATATGCATATTTGTTTTTTTGATAATTTTGGAATAAAAATATTACAAATTGTAGAAAGAGCATTTAATTGATCATTGGAAGATTTAATGCAGAGGATCAATTAATTAGGAATTATGTTGGATACTATGGTAAGAAATTCTGTTATAGAAGCTGGTATTATAAATTGTAAATTATTAATTAAGTTACTAATAGATTATTAAATTTGAAGATTTAGCTTTAGTTATTGTAAATATAAAAAATCTTAGGTAATTTGTTGTATCAGATTCTTGAAATTCAGAATGATTATATGACCAATGTTTAGTTAAAAAACTGCTAAGTAATTAGGCAATTCTTCTTTATTTCTGCAAGGAATTTCAAGTAGAAGTTTTTGATAAAAAAATAGAGTTTTCTGTTTTCTAATCTTAAATATCTAATTTTTGATTTGTTCTTTTAATTATATAATTTCCTAATTTATTAATATAAATAATTGTTAAGTTGTTAGTCTAGTAAATACTACTTCATAATTTTAAGAGTATTCTTCTTCTGGAAGGTCAAATATTTTTCAATATGATTGCATCCAACTCTGGAATTGTCAACTCCAAGACCTTAAGAATATTCAAAGAAGAATCAGAATTACAAGGGAGTGGCAAGGAAATCTCCATTATGTTATCCATTTTCCTTTTCCTTGATGATGTAGTTATTGCTATTGCTGTAGTTTTTATTACTGATGAAGTTTGTGTTGGATTGATCATCATTTTCATTAATTAAATAAATAGATCAAATAGCTTTTTATCTACTTATAGGAGAATCAGTAGTAAGATAAGTAATAGTACAAAAAGAATTACAAATAGTTTTCCAATATTAAGAGCATTAATTCCACAGATCCTAATTTTTAAATTTCAAGCTTTTTCCAAGCTTTTTTGACGTCATCCATGTAAGAAATGCCTTCTGCATAACATTTCTTTTCATAAAATGCAAGTTGAGCTACTATATGTTCTTTTAATTTATATATCACTTTTTTGTATATTAAAATATGGAATGATTTTGATTTGCTATATATTTTATTAAATAAAAGGCTAATTTTCTAGAACTAATATATTGTATCATTAAAGTTAAAGAATGGTATGGTACTATTCATTGATCTTCAGTTTTAATACATCTGTAAATATAATGTTGAGTATTAATATCAAAATATGTATTGTGAAAAAATGGATGAGGAAATTCTAAATTCATCTGGCATTTGCTAACAGTTCATCAATAATTTTATAATTTCCATCGATCCACCATTTTTTCTCTTTGTCTTGCATCAGCTTTATTAGTGATGAGTTTGAAATTATTGTGATAGTAATAGTTGTAATTATCTACTTTTTTACAAGTATGATTTAAAGTAGCTAGACCCCAAATTTTGCACTGCAATATATAAACTTAATTTGCTTTTACTTTTTCATATAAATCAGATTCAATATTTGGGTTAAGTAAATCAGATCTTATAAGATTTTATCAATCATTTTTGCAATAGATTTAAAAATTCAATATATACCATGTGTATGTACTGTACCATGATTTTGAAATTCTACTCTTTCAAAAAAAGTTAGTTAAATTGCCCATTCTGAATGTACAGAATTTTTCCAATGTGCTTTTTAAGTTGCATATAAAATGTAGTATGTATTTGTTAGAATAGTATCATAATTATTTATGTCTTTTAAAATTTTGTGACAGTTTAATAATATTATAGTAAAATTTAAGATTTGATATTTAAATTATTAATTATAACTTACAATTTTTCATAAAGTTTTAAAATTCCAAAATCATTCCCTTTAAACAATAAGCTTTCTGGTATTGATTTATGTGCCATTAATTCTTTAAGTAATGACAAATCTGAATATTCAATCATTTTTTCAGATGTTTCATTAAATTTTTGCTGTTTAGAAACTTATATAATTTAGGATAATTTTCCTTCAATGCTCTGGATAGATGATACCATTGCATAATGTGATTGTTTTTGTGAAGCTTTCTCTATACTAATGACTATTTGGTATATTGAAAAAATGATAACTACCTTTTGGTAACTTGTGATACATATAAATATCTAATATATGCTTTTGTTGTGTCATTAATTATGCCAGTAGCAGTTTTCCCAAGATTTTTTTTTATCATTGAGAATATTTTTTAACCCAATTAATTATAAAATCTTTTTTGTTGTAAGAGTAATAAATAGAGATGGTAATCCAAATGTTGATATTATTATATTTATTTACATGAAGTTCTTTTCATGAAAATATGTATCTCCATTATGATACTTTATAGTTTATTTTATTTCTTTGACAATTTCTTTATATTGAATTTAAAGATTGGATATAATTAATTTCAGCTCTGATATTATTATTGGCACAAGATTTGCAACTATAAAGAAAAAGCAATTAATGATGCTATTGCTTCTTCTATCTATACCACTTCCTCTATCACCTTACCTTATAACCAAAAGTTCTGCTCCTCTTGCATCTTTTGTTATTGTTATCATTTTATTATTGTTTTGGAAGATGATTATACAATGTTGCCTTTGTAAGAAGCATACCTAATGTTAGTAGTTTTGAAGTTACAGATTCCATGGTTAAGTGTTGAAAGTATTTAGTAATTAAAATCAATATATATATATGTTACTGATATTTCCATCTTTAAATTTGTTAAGTGTTTTTTTTTATATTTTGCTGACAGAGTAAGCAACTTCTGGTTATGAATTATAATTTCTTTCTAGTATCATTTCAAGTTAGTCTGAAAATAGACTAAGTGGATAAAGTTGATAATCCAAGAAAATCCTGCAAGTGGAATTCTATTGACATGATTACATACCAAATGCAATTCTTCAAATATAATTATATTGTTCCCTTGAATGCAAATTAAATAATCTGTTAATTGGTCCTTTTTTTCAACCAATTTCTCTGTATTCTGCTAAAGAACTCTATTTTGTTCAGTTATCTCCTAATAATGACCAATGTATTTGTATCTTCTAACTATATATGAATTTCTAGGTTATTATCTATAAAATGCTGGTGGCTTTAATGACAACATGCATATTATAAACTCCATTTCATAATGAATTTCTATCTATAGCTCTTATTAATCTGTTTGCTATATTATTATTCTACGCATTTTCTACTTATTATTTTCAATCAATTTTTATGATTTATGTAGCTTATTAAAGAAATTTGCATTCTTTCTCCTATGATTTGAATAAGATTTTTAATGTAAGATTTATCTTAATATTCCTTTAAACATTAAATAAACACTTAAATTCTTTTAATTATTTATTTTCACTATAATTTAAAAGATCAATAGGCCTTCCTTAAGAATTTGAATACATATAATGTGGTTAGCCTTTGCACTATTGCCCACCTGGCAACCTTTGGTGATTTTTTTTAAAAAAAATAGGAAAAAAAAAACAAAAAAAACTCGCTCACTCGCCCCTATCTTGTCCATCATTGATTGGACTAAATCTGCAGGATTAATAAAATTGTTTTTGTATGGAATGGCCACTTTAGCCCTTCTGCAATCTGTAAAAACATGATTAGGTTTCCAATAATAATGTTATATTATTCTAACCAAAGAGTAATCTTGCTGGGTTGGTGATATCCAAAAGAGTTGAGCAAGTTCATTTTCCACTCTAGGCGGTTATAAAGTGTCCACTCACCATTTCTCTTTTTCTTTTATTTTTTGAAAAGGATTTATTTTTTTATTCTTGTAATTTGGCTTGGCTTCTTTTGCATATTAGTTATATACCTACGTTATACATGTAGTTAATATTTGAATATTTCAATAAAATGTTGTTTTAAAACCTTGTTTGCTTCTGGTGAGAGAATGATTCATATGTAAAATTTTCTCAAAGTATCAAAAATGATGTTAAATATGATATATTCATTAATTAAGTTTTATTATATATTTACTAGTATAGGATACATGAATTTATTATATCAAACTAAATAATCACTTTTTTTGCTACATAACAACAATTAATATGATTTAATATACTATTTAATAAGAGTATAACTGAATCTAATTCACTTTTATTTGTTTGAGTACTCAAATTTTTAATAACACCCAATCCTTTGTATTTTTCAACTAATTTCCTGATTATGTTATTATTTAAAGGACCCTTACCATTACCATTAATGATAAGTGATAATGGTTTTAGTGGTATACGATCTTTCCAACTACTAAAAAATGATTCCAAATGATCTTTTGATTTTAAATTTACTTCACGTAAGTTTAATTCATGAAAATTTTTAGGAGAATATTTAGCAACAAATTCTAACAGTCTCTTTCCGCTTAAACGTGAACCACTAGAAGTCCTAATACTTTCTAATTGTTGGCAGTTAACAAAAATCATTTTTAATTCTTCTATTCCATTAGATGGAAAATTAACATATAATGATTTTAAGTTTGGGCAATAATTAGCTATAGCTAAATTTAATGAATTATTATTACAGTCAAATACAGAAAGTTCTTCTAAATTCTTTCCATTAATTACTAAAAATTTAATCAATGTATCAACATTAATTGAAAGAACTAATTTTAAAAATCTTAAGTTTGAAAATATAATTCTAGTAAAAATGGATGGTAGTGTTACGATGAAAAACAATGCAACGAAGTCACGTGATATAATCGTTGATCAATGGTAATTTCCGGGATGATTAATTATTGTTGAATGATCAACGTCATATAACGGGAGGATCAATGTTCGAAATGTTTAATATATCAAATATATTAAATATATGGCATATATTGCACATATTGCACATATGGTATATATGGCATATATTAAACATTTTAAACATTTTTAGCTTAGTGTTTTTACATATAAATAGATGCATTATTTTTCTATGTATTAAAGATAGATAATTCTGTTATATTTTAATAAAGCATTTATTAAATAAATTATCTCATTGTTTATTTTATA